CACAGAAAAATTACCTTTTTTTTTTTCCTTTTTTTTTTTTTTTTTTTTTTGTCGTCTCCCTAGCCTGCTACTCTCTAAATAAGCTCCAGTAAGACTAACCTCAGAAGAAAACCACTATATGTGATGAAAACAGAGCCTTTCCCAGCCTCCTTTTAAGCAGGTCTCACCCAGCACTGAGGCTATATAAGGGAATAGGCACTGTTATTTTCTTCAGGTGTGGAGCTTATACTTGTGATTGGGGATTTGTAGGTTAGGGAAAAAGCAACCGGAAAAAAAAAGCATTCTTAGCTATTCTTGAAGTTTTTGAGATTTGACTATTGTTGTTTGCTTCAATGGTTTTTATTTTGCAATGGTTACAATTTTTTTTTTATTTTTTTTTTTTTTTTTTATGCATGTGGAAAATAAAAGTGGTTTGGTAGCTTGCTTTGATATAGTTAAATATTTTGCTAGAATATTATTTTTTTTATTAATAGTGAAGCAAGTTTTGTTTAATAGTCTAGCATTAGGTATGAGGAATATCAGTTTAGCTAAATTGAGACTTCAACTTCTAGTGTTTTCTGTCTAGTGTGACTCAGTCTTCAAAGACAATGTTGGTTTTTTCCTGAATAGCTAGCCATTCTTATTTCAAGGGGGAAACAGGCTCTAGAAAACTGTACAGATAACTGGGCTTTTTCTTTTTGGTGTAGTCACCCTGCTAACCTGCCATCTGATATTCCTTGAAATAAATGTAGTTTTGAGAAGTTCTAGCTTTAATGACATTTGGTAGCAGTTGGGGTTGTTTTGTTACTTATTAAAAGTGTGAAAGACATTCTTCTTACTGTGGAGTTGTATATAAACTACTTAAGTCAAATAGCATTTGTCACAGTAAAAGAAAACTGCATTTTGTGTGATGACTCTTGGATGTGTTTCTCTTCTTAATTCTAAATGTTCTCTTTCTTATTGCTTCAGAAAGTACTGTGCTTTCTGAAGGATGTCCTGACTATTATCTTGGCAATGCTCTACTCTATTGTTCATCTGCTTTGCCCAAGAGCACTTTTTTACTTGTACGAAAGCGTCTTGAGGTATTTGATCTGGGATTGCCCTAGCATTTTGGTCTAGCATTGCTCTAGCATTTGGTCCTTGTCCAGAGGCTTGTAAAAAAACCCAAATTTGAAGCATGGCAATTTGTTAGCAGCTTGATGCTCTCAGATAGGGAAGCTTGGTGTATGTGTGGCAAGGTTGTAGATGGGAAGCTTTGATTTGCTGGGTGGAAAGAGCTTTATATCTTCAAAGAATAGCTCTGCCACAAATGGGACTCCAGTTGACACACTCCCCCTTCTGTGCTGGGTTCACCCCATTCAGCATAAACGATTACTAGGTTAAGCACTGGGCTTGCAAACTCCTCTGGTTTAAGAAGCCATTCTATTGGGTTTAAGTGCCAAACACCCTCTAGGCAAAGGACAGTTGGTGACTAATAGAGAGACTTCGTTAATAGCTGAGCAATGGCATCAGACTGGCAGCTCACCTGTGTAACTTCTGTTAGTAAAGGCTGTGGCATTAGTCTAATCAGAGCCACAATTTGGGAATATAATCAAGACCTTCACAGAAGCTGCATGAATCAAGATCAACATCCAGCTCTGCTGTGCTGTCTGCTTTTAGCAGTCTAATGAGTGGGTGCAAAAGCATGTGCCACAGGAGCAGGGAGGGGGTGAAAAGGGGGGTAATTGTGCTTTCAGGGTTAGCTTTGCCATAACTTTGTAAGGCTTAGAGTTTTCAGGCTTGGCTGTATGTGATGGGCAAAGGCTACTGCATGAAGAAACCACACACCCCCTCCTTTGAAGGATGTGGCTTTCAGAGTACAAAGCAATTGGCTTGAGCATTAAATATTATTATTATATGCTCCATATAAGCGTTGGAGAGCAGAGGGGTGGACTTTATCATTAGCAGCTGTCAAGTGGGAGGTGTGTTTTCGAAAGCAATGAGAGGAGAGGGCAGAGTCCTGCTGTGCATTAATCCATGACATATCCTGTGTTTCAGGGTGGTGCTCAATCAGATGCTTGGACTGGGTGTGAGGCAAGGAGCCAAGTCCACCTGCAATGAGGAAACAGCAGTGGGCACGGGTGTGGAAAGGGCCAGGCAGACTGACAAGTAAATGGTAAGGAGGTCAGGAGCACTCTGAAACAGAGATGCTCAGGTTGCAGGTGTGTTCATCAAGGTGTGGATTATTCCTGGGGAACTGGACCTATGATACCTGCATCGCTCTGCCTGCCTGATGCTTCAGGGCAGCAGTGTGATTCCTCCAGGCACAGCTGATGAAAGATCTGGCTCTGCTTTCCACGGTGTGGTGGAGATGGATTTTGCTCTGTCTGTTGTTTATTTCACCAGCAGAAAAGTTGGAGGATGAGGATTTCTGTGGGTTAAAAGAGTTACTCCTGCAAGCAGTGACTGACTGCTTTTCAGAAGTGTGGTGTAGGAGCTGTGCAGTATTGTCAGTATTAGTTGTTCCAGAACTCCTAAGTAATCCTAGGGTGATAAACCAGAGTGAATGCACACTGGATCCAGTAGAGAAAGTGTTTTTGCAGTTTCAGACTTCATAAGAGTTTGCTTAGTAATTTAAAACTTGGAGAAAGCAGCTTGTCTGTGTCACCTCAACAGGCGAGCAAACAGTGGTCACAAAATTATCTCACAACTTCTTCTTGGACTGCTGAACTAAATACTGCTAGGGAGAGAAAATGCTCTGAAAAAGGTGACAGACAAGGTCTGCAACAGCATAAAGAACAACAACAACAAAAAAGCACTACTTAGATTTGCGTCATGGAGAAAGGTCATGGAAAGGCTGTAAAATGAGAATCCCAAGGTGGCACTGTCCTTCTCAGTCTTTGTCTTAGCAACACTGGAGACTGTAAGGGGAAAACCTTATTCTTTGGAAGTTGTAGATGGCTGTGGAGCAGAAGTATGCTCCCCACTGGACAGCTTGAGTCAGCTCAAACTTCTTTCATTTGGGGTTTCTTTCCTGAAGCTCGCTGTACATGAAGGCTCTGGTGGCATTGCCGATACCCCCCATCAACAGGTTGCTTTTAAGAGCTTCTAGCAGAGGCTCATGGAAGGCTTTAATGATACCCTTCCCGAGGGAGCCTGGTGCAGGATGTGAATTGTGATGATGGTTCTGAACGTGCTGGAAAATTCAGTGTTTTACTGGGCAACATCCTCTTTGCATGTTGGTGCTGATCTAGACTATAACCCCTAGCTGGATGTATGGGGAAGGGATGTACAGAGGATTCCTCCTGCTGTGGGGGAGCCCTAGGGGGGTCCTCCAGCTGTCCATGCCAATGGCTCAGAGGCCACATCAGAGTATATTTTTTTTGTGAGTTCAAGCTTGTGTTGTCCTCTCAGAGAGGAATGGTCATTTGCAGCATACTGCCTTGGTTTACTGAGCTCTTTCCCACGTAAAAGGAGAAACCAGCCTGGGAAAAGGGCACAACCTTTTGTGGCCACAGAATTAGGCAGAGTATTTTCTCTTCTGCATGAAGGAGTTCCTCCCTCAAATAAACCCCAAGCAAAGCGGAGACCTCAATTACTGCTTGAGCAAGGACTCGAGGCATTCCCCAGCATGCGTGTTATGCAAGGGCCAGGTTCTGCTGCCCTGATTCCTGTTCCTCCCCGAAACTGCAGGCATTTAGGCACATGCCTCAAATACATGAGCAGTCCCACCTACTGCACTGGTCTGCCCCAAAGTGTCCTGCTGGAGCAGTGCTGGCAGCCCTAGCTTCTCAAGCTCTGACACCCACTGGGGCTCTATCTGGGGTCACCCAGCAGCAGGAGCATCCACCAGGCACTGATGTACCCTGTCTCATGTACCTTAGGTCTCTTCCTGCCTTCATAAGTGATCTAGAGGAGAGCCGGATTAGGTGCAAGATTAATTTGGTGCAGTTTTTGACTGTTCAGAAGTTTGTTTATGCTAAATCAGAGAGTATTATAGGACCCACATAATCGAGTGAGATTCCTAAAGCAGCTTGTTGTTTGTAAGCTCTCAGAAATGACTGGACATCTCTTCCCTGCACCTGGACCCCAGTCCCACCCACTCCCGTGACAGAAACAGCTATGAGCCAATTTAGGGCTGGGGTCTCTGGGGAAATGCAGTTCTGGTTATGAAACTGCCTTCCACCTGCAAGTTTGGAAGATGTACCACAGCACAGCTTTTCTACCCAATGCAGATTCCTGCAGCCATGCTTTCTGTCCCCAGGCATGGGAACGGGGCTCTAGCCACAACGTGGGTACCACTTCCCAGTCCTGCTGTGTGAGGGAAGGAGGGGGCAGTATCGGTGCTGTCGGGCAGCCCGGGGCAGTCCTGGGGAGGAGCAGAGCTGCCCTGCATTCCTTTCTGCATGGGCTGGTAGGTGTGTTACACCCTCCTCTACTCAGGGCACTCCAGCTGCCACCCTCTGCCATAGCCAGTCCCCCTCTAAGAACTCTTGCTGGAAGGCTGGACCTTGATCAACTGCATTTTTAAAAGCGGGATTTGTCCTTAATCTGCTGGGATTAAAAAGGGATGGAGTTTTAGGTGCTCCCCAGAATTTAGGTGGTGTGAGCAAGTGTTTTGCAAACCCTAGGACCAAAACCGATCTGTCACTGTAAGCAGAAGCAAGCACTCTGCCCTGGCTGGGGCCAGGCTGTGTGCTTCACCTGGGAGTCTGAGACCCCAGACCCATGGTCCCACCAGTGCTGGTGACTGTGGCTGTACCCAGCAGCGGGTGCCTGCCCTGAGTGGTGCACAGGACTTGTCTACCAAGGGTTCAGATATGCTTCCAGCAGAGTCATTGCATCCTCTCACTGGTAGAAAAGCAAGAAATGGGAGGAAGGGCAGAAAGGCTCAGACAACAGTTCATTGCATTGTTTTAAAAGTACATTCTTCAGTAGGTTCAATCTGTTTCACAGCTTTTTTTCTGCCTGTCTGGCTTCCTCTTGAGGTATGGCCACCAAGGTCCCATCTCCACTGGCTGGGGATGCCAGGGACCCATCTCTCAGTCACTCTCGATGCCGGTGTGGTGGGATGCTGCCCCACGGCTGTGCTGTGGCCTGAGGCAGGCAGGCAGTGCTGCCCTGCCAGCGGGTAGTGAGACCTTGCTGACAGAGGACACGCTGCAAGCCAGGGGCTGCGTGGGGAACATAATCGTGCCACGGGGTGCCTCCAGGAGCTGCCAGATCTCCCCCGAGGTGGAGCTGCCCAGGTACTCCCAGGGCCGGCGCCCGCTGCTGTCCCGCACCTGGACCTGGCACCCCAGCTGCAGCACCAGCACCTTGATGACGAGCTGGTGGCCGTGGATGGCAGCCAGGTGCAGCGGAGTGTACCCACAGCCCGTGCGGGCATCCACGTCCAGGGCCAGCCCAGCCTGCCGTGCTGCTGCTGCCAGCTCCTGCAGGCCTGGACCATCGCCGTGCTTGGCCAGCCAGTGAAGGACTGTGAAGCCTGACATGAAGTCCCGCTGCAGGGCCAGCTCCGGCTCTTCCAGAAAGAGACCCCGAACCCGAGCCCAGCACCCTGCTGACACTGCCACCAGCCAGGCGTGCTCCCGCTGCCCCAGTGGCACCAACAGCCCCCGGCTTGGGACATTCCTAGGGGAGGTTTTGGAGGACACAGTGTGGGGCTGCTGCCCAGAGTCATCTAGCAGCGATGGGGGGATGCCCTGCGCCTCCAACAGAGCAAGCTGGCGTCTGATGCTCCTGAAGACAGGCGGTGGTGCTGGGGGGCTGCTCTCTGGGGCTCGAGGCCCTGTGGGGCCCTGTGCTGGCAGCAAGGATTGGGATGGGGGTGGCTGGGTGGGGGGCAGCAGCGGGGATTGGGATGGGGGTGGCCTGGTGGGGGGCAGCACCCCAGGACTCGACAGCAGTGGCAGGATTTGGTTTGGGTACAGCAGCAGGACTCGAGGTTGGGTTGGTCCGTTAGGGGCCGGCACCCGGGATCCCCTTGGCAGGGATGGGGATGGCCTGGTGGGGAGCTGCTGCAGGGACTGGGACTGCGATGGGGACAGCCTGGCGGAGGGTGGCATGTCTGGGCCCGATAAAAGCGGTGAGGATGGGGTGGTGG